AATCCCCTTATGAAAAGGCTTCAATTACATGTTTAAAAAAAAAAGTACATTTCATTTTTGCCATTTTATAGACGCCGGCGCTTATAAATTTCCTCAATTATAAGCGCAACCCCTAAAAATCAGTGTTTTATTACAACCCCAGGGGCGCTTCTATTCGGGGTATAACGGTAGATTGATTTAAACAAGGAAATACAAGGTTTTATAAGAGTACAAGGAATACTAAGAGATACAGCTAATAACTGTTTTACTGTTGCTGTTGCAGTTCGATACAGTGCCGACTCGGTGTCAGAATGTGATGTTTGTGTAGCCTGCAGTGGGGTACTCTATAGCGAGTACAGCTCGAATTAGGGTTTCCTATATGTACTCAACTGCATGCTAGTGAAAACCTCTTTCCTGTTTCTGATTCTTGCCTAGCCTTTCGACACTCGGGCAACTGCTCAGTAACGAGTCAGTTGTTTGTCCTTGATGTCGCGCTATATTTGTCAGGTCAAAGGTCGCTGACCTTTGACTTTCGCGTAACCTCCAGCGGTTGATTTTCTTCTCAACCTCCAAGTGTTAGACTCGCTGATGCTTCGTTGTGATTCACCTCGTTTACTACTCAGTGTTTCGACACACAACAGAAGCGCTTAAATTACTTGTTTCCAACAACTTTCTCGCAGAGACGGATAAAAAAGTCTGATATGGTCGCCCCAGCCTTACAGAAAGACCAACTTCCGCGAACTTGCCGCCCCCAATCCTATCCAGAGGCCTGCCGAGTTACCGTGTTGCGTTGTCAGCGATGTTGCCAAATCCACCAGTGTGGTTACGGTAAGTGGCACGTCGTGGGTTTTCATGGTTTTGCACCTGTGTTTGCTGACGTGTTGTGTATGTGTAGGATGTCATGTTTGTTTCGCTACCTTTTCGATTTCGGAAATCCTCGTTCCCAAGAGTTTGGTTTCAGTGTAACTGAAACCGTACCCTACACAGTCAGGGAAAAAAAATCATACCCCTGTTTTACTAAGGGTAAAAAAATCACTTCACTATTTGGCCTATGGTATACCGGTAAATCCTGTTGGGCTGAAGTGCCCTAGGATCTTTGTAGAGTTTTAAGTCTGAGTAGAATTGTAGTAGCGGAAGCGTTTGAATGAAAGTACTTGAACCACCTTGCGCTAGTACCGTATGGCCCCGGATAGAAGCGCAGGCCTATGTTAAGCGCATGCGCTTGTATCTGGAGCAATGCGCTTATGGCCGATCCTCAATTATAAGCGCACCCCTTTGGAATTCTTGACTTATTATAAGCGCACTCGTTTAGTTAAAAAAAAAAAAAGAATTTCATTTTTTTTAACCTACCTAGCCTACATGTTCTAAACTTTCCATTAAGAATGACTATCACATACAAGGGTGGTCTCTGCTGTCCTGCACTACACCTTTCAACCTGCCTAGTCTACCCTACTGCCTTTTCTTCCTCCTCGTCCGACTCAGGCTCCGTGGAGTTGTTGCCCCAGAACCCATCTGCCTGGATGTCGTCGTCCACCTCCACCTCATGGGACAACTGGCACCTTCGGTGCGCTAGCACCAGTTTGTCTTCGCTCCCATCAAGGGCGTTGCTGATGCCGCAAGTGAGGAAGGCTTTGTTGATGAGGTCGGCGGGCACCGCCTTCCAGGCCCGTGAAATCCACTTGAGCACCACCTCCGGAGGTGGTTTCTTGATGTTCCCTGCATCACACGGAGTGGGGCGGGGAAAACATGAGACAAGTAAACATGCATTCAAGCTCAAGATTTGCAGACGGGAGCACATGCCGTCACTCACCTGCCGGGGTCAGGATGTTCATGCCGTCCTCCTCAAACCAATTTTGGTACTGCTGACGAATGCTTGCTTTGAAGCTTTTGTTGATCGACACATCGAGGGGCTGCAGGTCTGCCGTGCAACCCGCCGGAATGATAGCAGGCACGATGTTGAGCGCCGCGAATCTCGCCTTGACTTCTGGTGTCAGGTGACCGCGATACGAGTCGAGCACCAGCATGGCGCTACGACTCTGCAGGCCGAATTTCGGCTTCAGGAACGGCACCACGCCCGTGTTGAGCCACTCGATGACGCCTGCGGCCTCCATCCACCCGTTGGCTTGGCAGCCGACCACAACATCTGCACGCAACGAAAAAGAACAGTTAACGACTCAGGTAGTAACGGGAATAAACACGGTGGACGATCACTTACCGTTCGGGAAGTCACCCTTGGGGAGTGTCTTGCGCTTGAAAAACACCCACGGCTTCAGCTTCTCGCCCGTCGCCGTGCACGCAAGCATGACGGTCACTCTCTCCTTCTGGTACCCACCGCTGCGAATGGGCACCGACCTCACGCCCGTCTGCTCCACGGTGGTCGTCGCCGGCATCTCTAACCACAGCGGTGTCTGGTCGGCGTTGATGATGTAGCGGTTGTCAATGTCGTATTCGTAACGGGCGTCACGTACGTACTGCCAAAAATCATTGCACTGCTCAGCCACGTCTGCAGAACAGGGAGAAAGGTACATACAGTAAACCAAATTAGTATGACGCATAGGAGACATGCGAAAAAAACTAAGCGCAATCGGGTACCCACCAAAATCAGCAGTAAACGACCCACTTACGCTCCTGTGTTTTCTGTGCCACCTTTGTTTTCATGCGCACGCTGAGGTTCCACCGCCTGCGGAACCGCTCCGTCCACCGCTGACTGGCTTTCCACTTGACGTCCGGGTATAGAACCTTCATCACTTCTTTGGACCACTCTTGCAGCCGGCCGACCGAAACCGCAACTCCGCGGCGTCGCCAGTCGAGGAGTTGCGCGTACACCTTTAACTCCATGGGGCGGTACCAAGACGACCTCCCGCGCCCGTGAAGTCGCATCCGTGCTCCGTGTGCAGCCTTGAGCGCATCCGCTTGGGCTTTCCATTCTGTCAGACATTTTCGGTGAATGCCTGACTCCCGCGCCACTTCGCTCACCGAAGCCGCAAGCTCGAGCCGCACGAGCCACCTCAACTTCTCCTGGGCGGTGTAGGACTGCCGCTTATGTTGATTCAGCTTGTGCCTGGGGGAGGGGGGGCGGGCATCTCGATTCTCGGTAGACGGGTGGGGGCGTTTTTTATTAAGGGGCGGATATGTCGGTACCGGCATCTTCGCGCGTGGTGCGTCGCGCCACCAGGACTCCACACCGTCCTCGTCCTCGTCACGGTCGGGGAACACGTCTTCCTCGTCGCCCGCTGCACCGTCGCCACCAGCTTCACCGTCGCCTCCAGCTTCGCCGGCGCCGCTGTCATGTTTATCGGTAGCCACATCATCGTCGGCGCCCACAGCCGACTCATCCCACGCGCAGGATTCTGGTTGTCCCCACCGTGGTGCAGTCGCTGGAGCTTGGATGCGTGCATCGCGGGCCTTCGGTGTGTCCGCTTCAGCCAACCATTCGTCGAACGTGGCTGGTAAATACAGTTGGAGCACGGGCCGTTGGTGAGCACCTGCCGTGGCAAAAGCAGGCGGATTCGGAGGAGCGGGAGGTGCGGGAGGAGCGGGTGGAGCAGGGGGTGCAGGGGGAGCAGGAGGAGCAGGGGGTGCAGGGGGATCCGGTGGCACTGGAGGCGCTGGTGGCTCACGGGTATACCACCCGTCTTCGGTAAGTCGCCATGTGCGGCGTGGCTTTTTCTTGAAGAGGATGCTCGTCCCACTAAATTCCGCCATGGCTTCGCCTGCCAGGCGGGGTTGACAAGGAACTGAATGAAAAAATCAGAGAAGAGGGTGAAGAAATGGGCAACGACGGTGACCCCTGCTGTGTGACGGCTCGGGTTCCTCGTCGATGACAGGCAGGAAACCCCCGCCCACTCCCGTAGAGGCGCCTGCGTGGCAGCATCTACGCTGCGCTGGCAGAGAATCTTGCCGAACCTTCGAGATGGTTCTGCCCGAATGCACATGCCTCGCAGCGCATGCGGCTCTGATTGGGCCGCACGACAACATCATCGTCACGGCTGTCACATTCTATGTTTCCAGACAACATTGTGCGGTGGTAAACCGAACCGCTGCGGTTTCTGCCTGAAAACCATGCACGATCCCACTTGGTGCATGGTCGGTTGAATTCGCCTTATTGAGAGCTTCACAATGGTGTGTTCAAAATTGATTTTCATTTTTCCCTTTATACAAGCGCATGCGCTTATAAATCTGACTCAATTATAAGCGCACCCCCCCAAAAAACAATGTTTTATTATAAGCGCAGGTGCGCTTCTATCCGGGGTATTACGGTATGTGAGGGCAAAGTAAGTTGATTAAACAAGCAAATACAGAGGTTTATATAAGAGTACAAGGAATACGAATAGATAAGTTAAAACCGTTTTACTGTTGCGATTCGATACAGTGCGACTCGAGCAACTGCTCAATGTCGAGTCAGTTGTGTGTCCTTGCTGTCGCGCTGTATTTGTCAAGTCAAAGGTAGCTGACTTTTGACCTTCTCGTAACCTCCAGGCGGTTACCCTAACCTCCGAGGGTTGACTCGCGATGCTTAGATTCGGACTGCTTCGCTAGTCACCTGAGTTTCGACACGACAGAGGCGCTTAAGACTTATTATTCCCAACAAATCCCACTACCCTTCCTGGGAAAGGGTAACTGAAAAAAAGTGGCCGCCAAGAAGGGCAAGAAGGGCATTTACCCTGATATTTTTAGCCCTTTATGAGGGATCACCCTGAAAGGCAAACATCAACCAAAAAGCACCCAACTGGTACCAACGGCCGAGTGACTCAGTGCACCGCTGATGCTTCTAAAAGGCTTAGATGCTGACACTGTTTGCCCCTGCTGCCTCTCACTCCCCACCCCACTCCGTCAAGATCTCCACCACCCGTTCCCACCATAAAACCCTGCTGGACTCTCCACTGGCGTTGATCTCTTTGGCGGAATATCTTCATGGTCTCCTGCAGGCCAAAAAGACAAACAAAACTACTGGTAGAGCAGGGGCAGAGGGAAAATACGGGCGTTAGAAGGGGGTGTGTAGTGAAGAGGGTGGTGAATTGATGGTGTGTTGTTTGAATGGAGATATGTGCAGGGGGAAGGAAGAAACGGGGCGCATCGTCTGTACAGAGGTGTATGCACGGGTAGGGAGAAACGGGCTGTGTGTGAGGGAGGTGTATGCAGGTGGGATGGGATGGGCGTACCTAGTGTGCAGCATGGTACCTGCATGGCGGAGTGGCTCACAGAGTGACTTTTAAGAAGTCTCAAAGTGGCTCAGGGAGTGCATGGTGGGGAGGGAGGGGTGGGGAGGGAGGGGTACGTAGGGGTGGAATGTGCTGACTTGACCGTCAACTGTTTTCACTGACTTGACCGTTCCTTAGATTTCCCTCCTGTCCATACCCTATCCTCCCTTCCCATCGCTCCTCATGCTTTCCACTCCCTACCACCCCCTTCCATTCTCCTTCCATCCCTTACCACTCACCTCCTCCGTTCCAGTTTCTTCTCAAGACCTCCTTATATTCAATTAGACTTACAGTACTACTCTTTAATTACCTTTACCCTGGCCTGGGCCATGATCCTAGGTACCGTAGTCCGCTCATGTCCTCTCCCTTCCCACCGGCCAGTCATCTCGCAATCCCCATGCCGCCCATCCCTCAGTCTCCCAGTGTTCACAACTCACCTCCCCTGCCCTTGGCCGCATTCCCCCTCAGCTCTCCCCTCATTGCACCAGCCATTCCCCCTCCACTCATCCCTCATTCCCTTTGCGTTTATCCCTCTTGCCCTCTGCGCTCATCCCTCTTCCCTCTTTCCCCCTGTTCTCCCCTCTTTCCCCCTGTGCTCCCCTCTTTCCCCCTGTGCTCCCCTCTTTCCCCCTGCGCTCCCTTCTTTCCCCCTGCGCTCCCCTCTTTCCCCCTGCACTCCCCTCTTTCCCCCTGCGCTCCCCTCTTTCCCCCTGCGCTCCCCTCTTTCCCCCTGCGCTCCCCTCTTTCCCCCTGCGTTCCCCTCTTTCCCCCTGCGCTCTCCTCTTTCCCCCTGCGCTCTCCTCTTTCCCCCTGCGCTCTCCTCTTTCCCCCTGCGCTCTCCTCTTTCCCCCTGCGCTCCCCTCTTTCCCCCTGCGCTCCCCTCTTTCCCCCTGCGCTCCCCTCTTTCCCCCTGCGCTCCCCTCTTTCCCCCTGCGCTCCCCTCTTTCCCCCTGCGCTCCCCTCTTTCCCCCTGTGCTCCCCTCTTTCCCCCTGCGCTCTCAAATTTCCCCTGCGCTCTCCTCTTTCCCCCCGCGCTCCCCTCTTTCCCCTACGCTCCCCTCTTTCCCCCTGCGCTCCCCTCTTTCCCCTACGCTCCCCTCTTTCCCCTACGCGCCCCTCTTTCCCCCTACACTCCCCTCATTCCCCTACGCTCCCCACTTTCCCCCTACGCTCCCCACTTTCCCCCTACGCTCCCCTCTTTCCCCCTACGCTCCCCTCTTTCCCCCTACGCTCCCCTCTTTCCCCCTATGCTCCCCTCTTTCCCCCTACGCTCCCCTCTTTCCCCCTACGCTCCCCTCTTTCCCCCGCTCCCCTCTTTCCCCCTGCGCTCCCCTCTTTCCCCCTGCGCTCCCCTCTTTCCCCCTGCGCTCCCCTCTTTCCCCCTGCGCTCCCCTCTTTCCCCCTGCGCTCCCCTCTTACCCCCCACGCTCCCCTCTTTCCCCCTACGCTCCCCTCTTTCCCCCTACGCTCCCCTCTTTCCCCCTACGCGCCCCTCTTTCCCCCTACACTCCCCTCATTCCCCTACGCTCCCCACTTTCCCCCTACGCTCCCCACTTTCCCCCTACGCTCCCCTCTTTCCCCCTACGCTCCCCTCTTTCCCCCTACGCTCCCCTCTTTCCCCCTATGCTCCCCTCTTTCCCCCTACGCTCCCCTCTTTCCCCCTATGCTCCCCTCTTTCCCCCTACGCTCCCCTCTTTCCCCCTACGCTCCCCTCTTTCCCCCGCTCCCCTCTTTCCCCCTGCGCTCCCCTCTTTCCCCCTGCGCTCCCCTCTTTCCCCCTACGCTCCCCTCTTACCCCCCACGCTCCCCTCTTTCCCCCTACGCTCCCCTCTTTCCCCCTACGCTCCCCTCTTTCCCCCTACGCTCCCCTCTTTCCCCCTACGCTCCCCTCTTTCCCCCTGCGCTCCCCTCTTTCCCCGTGCACACAACCATTCTCCCTGCGTTTACCAATCATTCCCCAGGCTGATGCCTAATTCCCCGCCCGCTCATCCCTCATAAACACTGAGCTCGCGCGTTTTCCCCTCTGCTCTCAATCTGGTTAATATCCGCTCACCCGTCATTCCCCCCCCCACTCATCCCTCATGACCCCTGCTATCGCGCTTTCCCCACCCCCTTCACTGTGCAGCCCTCTGCGCTGACATATTTTCCCCCCTGAGCTCAAATATTTTCCCCCCTGCGCTCACACATTTTCCCCCTGCGCTCACACATTTTTCCCCTGCGATCACACATTTTCCCCCCTGCGCTCAAACATACATTCTCCCCCTGCGCTCAAACATACATTCTCCCCGCTGCGCTCAAACATACATTCTCCCCGCTGCGCTCAAACATACATTCTCCCCGCTGCGCTCAAACATACATTCTCCCCGCTGCGCTCAAACATACATTCTCCCCGCTGCGCTCACACATACATTCTCCCCCCTGCGCTCAAACATACATTCTCCCCCTGCGCTCAAACATACATTCTCCCCGCTGCGCTCAAACATACATTCTCCCCGCTGCGCTCAAACATACATTCTCCCCGCTGCGCTCAAACATACATTCTCCCCGCTGCGCTCAAACATACATTCTCCCCGCTGCGCTCACACATACATTCTCCCCGCTGCGCTCACACATACATTCTCCCCGCTGCGCTCACACATACATTCTCCCCGCTGCGCTCACACATACATTCTCCCCGCTGCGCTCACACATACATTCTCCCCGCTGCGCTCACACATTCTCCCCGCTGCGCTCACACATTCTCCCCGCTGCGCTCACACATTCTCCCCGCTGCGCTCACACATTCTCCCCGCTGCGCTCACACATTCTCCCCGCTGCGCTCACACATTCTCCCCGCTGCGCTCACACATTCTCCCCGCTGCGCTCACACATTCTCCCCGCTGCGCTCACACATTCTCCCCGCTGCGCTCACACATTCTCCCCGCTGCGCTCACACATTCTCCCCGCTGCGCTCACACATTCTCCCCGCTGCGCTCACACATTCTCCCCGCTGCGCTCACACATTCTCCCCGCTGCGCTCACACATTCTCCCCGCTGCGCTCACACATTCTCCCCGCTGCGCTCACACATTCTCCCCGCTGCGCTCACACATTCTCCCCGCTGCGCTCACACATTCTCCCCGCTGCGCTCACACATTCTCCCCGCTGCGCTCACACATTCTCCCCGCTGCGCTCACACATTCTCCCCGCTGCGCTCACACATTCTCCCCGCTGCGCTCACACATTCTCCCCGCTGCGCTCACACATTCTCCCCGCTGCGCTCACACATTCTCCCCGCTGCGCTCACACATTCTCCCCGCTGCGCTCACACATTCTCCCCGCTGCGCTCACACATTCTCCCCGCTGCGCTCACACATTCTCCCCGCTGCGCTCACACATTCTCCCCGCTGCGCTCACACATTCTCCCCGCTGCGCTCACACATTCTCCCCGCTGCGCTCACACATTCTCCCCGCTGCGCTCACACATTCTCCCCGCTGCGCTCACACATTCTCCCCGCTGCGCTCACACATTCTCCCCCCTGCGCTCACACATTCTCCCCCCTGCGCTCACACAGTCTCCCCGCTGCGCTCACACATTCTCCCCCCTGCGCTCACATATTCTCCCCCCTGCGCTCACACATTTTCCCCGCTGCGCTCACACATTCTCCCCGCTGCGCTCACACATTTTCCCCCCTACGCTCACACATTTTCCCCCCTGCGCTCACATATTCTCCCCCCTGCGCTCACACATTCCCCCCCCTGCGCTCACACATTCCCCCCCCTGCGCTCACACATTCCCCCCCCTGCGCTCACACATTCTCCCCCCTGCGCTCACACATTTTCCCCCCTGCGTGCACCAATCATTTATAGCATGCGGTCATTCGCGAGACGAAATGTGAGACCAGGACAATAACCATTAAAAATTTGAGCACATTCCCTTCGCAGGCATTATCCTGTTCAGGTGGTAAGGGTATACTCTCAGCCATAGGGAGCTCTAGTCTCCCGAGGCACCCCCAGTGCTTCAGTCTATGTAAAATCAAGCTAAAGGCACACATTTACACAGACCATGCACTTCCCTTCGCAGGCATTACCCTGGTCAGGTGGTAAGGGTGTGTTCTCAGCCTTCCCGAGCCCCGGGCTAGGCACCCCTAGTGCTGGTTGACAGACAGGAAAACTTAAGCAGAAGCGGGGGTGTCATCGGAAGAGGCAAGAACAAGCTCGGGACGAGCGGACAGATCAGAGACGGCACCGTCAACCTCGTTGGGGAGGCCGAGGGCCTTGAGGGCCAGGTGCGCCGCCTTCTGCCCGGACACCATCATCGCCCCGAAGGTAGGACCCTGTGCACACATCAACAAGAAACACACGAACAAAAACAGGGTGGAAAGACAGGAGCACAACAACGCACCACCAGAGCGATCCGGCGTCCCGAAGGGAAAGAATTAGAATCTGAAACACTCGTGAAATTGACGGCTAAGATTGAGATCCGTACCATGCGGGGAGCGCCGTCCACCTCGGCGACCTCCATACCGGTGACAATCATCCCAGGGACCACCTCGCGCGTGTGACGGACGATGGCATCCTCGGCGATGTTCATGTCCAGGCACTTCATGCCGGGGACCTTGTCAATCAGCCCGATGCTCTTGAGCCTCTTCACGCCGGTGGCGCCGAAGGGCCCGTCGTGGCCGCACGAGGAGACGACGACCTTGGCTTCCATGACGTTGGGGTCCATGCAGCTCTGCGTGTCGTGGTTCATCGACACCAGCGCCCAGTTCGTCACCACGCCGCCCACCTGCACGTCCGAGAAAGAACAACCGAAAAAGGGTTGCAGTAGGTATAATGTTACGGGTGAAAATATTTCAAGCAAATGGATGCGGGTTGCAAATTGCCGGAAGACAATGATAAAAACGTAGCGACAATTGTAAAATGGATGTAGATTAATGACAGTTCCGGGACTTACGCGGCCGTTTTTTATGATGAGATCCTCGGCGCACACGGCGTTGAAGAGCTTCACGTTGGGCCGCGCGAGCAGCTTGCTCATGATGGTCGACGTGAAGAGCGCCGCGTGCTTAATCACCACGTAGTCCTCCTCCTCGTCATAAGCGATCTCGAGCTCGTCGAGAAAGCGGTGAGCCGGCTTGCGGACCACCATGGCGGAGAAGAGCTGCCCGCCGAGCCACGCGCCACCGCCAGGGCTCACGGACTGCTCGATGATGGCGACGTTCACGTCGGGGTTCTTGCTCAGCTCGTACGCGCAAGACAGGCCCGCGGATCCCGCGCCGACGACCACCACGTCGGTGTCGGCGTAGGTGATCATGTCGGTCATGTAGCGACGCGTCATCTCGCGCGCCACGATCGACTCCTTGATCGGCTGGAACTTGAAGTTCTGAAAGTTGTAGGCCGAGTCCTGGTACATGGCGGAGACGGCCGGCGCGGCGCGGAGAGCCTTGGCCTTGGAGGGAGGAACAGAAACGGAGCTCCCAAGGAGCTCCGACTTACAGAGGGCAACGGCACCCTTGAGGGTGGTCGCGGAGAGGGTGGAGGCCGTGGCGCAAGCCATGATTGGAGACAAGCAAGAAGACGAGAGAGCAGGAGGAATCGGCTCAGCAGAACAGACTGAATTGACATCGGGCAACAGCTCTGCTCTTATGTTGGCTCGAGCTGGGAGCATCAGTAGGACGCACGATGACTCTTGGTGGAACCGGGGAGGGGAATGCAGGGGGACGAGGGGGGAGGCGGGGGGAGGCGGGGGGAAATGCTATCGGCGGAAGCGAGGGTGAGGAGCGGAGGGAAGAGAAGGGGGAGGGGGGAAGAGGAACACGAGAACTGGGGGAAATCTGGGGGAATGCGAGATAGTTTTTCCTGGCCTGGGGGAAGCACGAATGTTGCAACAGGCGGAATATGACGAGGCAGGCTTGCAGGCAGCTGTGCGTTCGATTCGATGGTCCCCTGTCCCTTGGATTGAGCCTTGTGGGCCTCGCCATCTCTTTTGGTCGCATTGCTTTGTCGAAAAAGGGAATCTCGCCAGTGGAACGCTGCCACGTAGGAATCAAGAGGTATCCAAACCGCAGCCTAGTCATCGGCGATGTCGTCCGTGATTGGAACATGCACCTAGTGATGCCATGTCAGAGGTATGAGGTGGTTTGTTTTGTATCGAGCTGTGAAGGATCCTCAGTACATTTTGTCATCCACTGTAGGTGTTCAGCAGAAACACCTACAATGAATGAAAGCATTTGAAGGGACAACTATTTAGACTCAAAATGGCCGAACCATGGATGATTCCAAACTTGCTCATGTTTTATTGACTGCTGAATGATGCACGTCCCATGTCTTCTTGCATTGAACTCAAGTTCTAATGATCAGTTCGCAGATTCACACTTTATGTCATCGCATTCAACTCGTGTCAATTTCCAGCAAAATTCTTTCACCAACGGCTGCCAGATTAGCACCTCGGTTGCTTCCAAAGTTCCTCTTATTAGGCTACTTGAAAAGCGGGAATTTAAATGAACTGGATGACTATCATAAGGGTGACAATGCAGAGATGAGAACAAGAACCACAAGAAATTGCAAACAAGTAGAATACGGAAAAACATTCACATGCATGTACAAGAATGTTGTACCAAAGTACTCATAAGTTTTAGAAACACTCATGTGTAGCAGAAAGTGCACGGCATACCTGAATGGCTCGTTTGGGCAATGCAGCAACTCTTGTTAGGCCCAACGTGCGAGCAATCTGGCAAGAATAAGGACAATGAGCGAATAATGAGAAGTTGTTGAGCGGCCGATGAGAGGATCATGAGAAGATGATGAGAGGATCATGAGAGGATGATTGATTAGAGGATGATGGGAGGTTGATGAGAGGATGATGAGAGTATATTGAGAGGATGATACGAAGATGATGAGAGGATGATGAGAGGATGCTGAGACGATGATGAGGTGATGAGAAAAGGATGATGAGGGGATGAAAGGGGGATGTTGATATGATGATATGGGGATGG